AATGAGGTGTCATCGGCATATATTACAGGAACAATATTCCCATTCAAATTCAAAGAAATGTCATTAAAAATATTATGAATAGAATAAGACCCAAAACTGATCCTTGTGGTGCACCATAATTGACATCTCGCCTAGCAAATATTCCCCTGTTATTAACTTGTTGTGACCTACTGGTGAGATAAGACTTGAAGAGTTTTAATGTGCAACCTCTTACACCATATCTTTCTTTTTTTAGCAATGTACCATGATGTACTGTCAAAGGCTCTGGTGAGATCATAGAAGCATGTTACATAAGTTTTCTGCTCCCCAGAGCCCCCAGCACATGTTTATAGAAGTTACATATTGCTGTCAATGTTGATTTTCTTAAAGTATTTTAAATGTTTCAAAAAATTTAATCAATCTGTTTTTTTTTTAGAAATTCAAATTTATAATTGATATAGGTCTATAGTTAGATGCCCGATTTTTGTATACAGGAGTTACTTGTGACATCTTAAAAGAATCTGGACATACACCATGTTCTATATACTTAGTTATTAAATAGAACCATCAACCTCTGACTTTAAAATTGCAGAATTATGGCCATATTGTGATGTTTGTTTATTTTAAAACAACAGTTTATTTGTAAATAATTTATTTAAACACTTATTTATTTTATAACACTACTATTTAATTTATATATCGAATGTCTTTGAATCGCTCACTATTTATATTCACCACTGTCTATCTACTAATTACTATTTATCTTCACTGTCCATATAATACTGATGATGATGGCTCATCCACCATTATTTATATACAAATTTCTAAAATTTGGTGGAGTCGAGAAGCTTCTCCACCAAACCAGAAATATTTCGAACAGTCCAGAAATTTCCTGATTATTGGGAGAGTTGTTTTTTAAGACCTATTTACAAATCTGGGCTAAAAGAAAAAGTCGAGAACTACCGTGCAATTTGTATACAATCTGAAATTCCTAAAATGTTAGATTATTTTATCAATCAGTATTTAAAATTTAATTGTAAACATCTGATTTCAGATCGACAACTTGGGTTTTATCAAGGTAAGTTTACTTGTACAAATTTAGTGATTTATAACTATTTCATCATACAATCCTTAGAGTCGAGGTGTCATATTGACTCTGTTTATACGGATTTTTCAAAAGCATTTGACAGAGTCAACCATGACATACTTAAGTATTGCTAAACTAAGAGGATATGGGTTTGGTGATATTATATTAAATTGGATTGATATTTATTTGCGTAACAGGATTCAATATGTTCAATATGGCAACTGCAAATCGGAGGCAATTACAGTATCTTCTCTAGAAGATAATACAGGTTATCATCAAATTAGTCGTAATGATTTAAGAAAACATATTAATGATTTTCTTGTAAATAATGTATTTTATAGATTTTATTTTTTAATGTATTTTACTTAACACTTTTTTGACTAGTCTGATAGGATTTTACATTATGTACCTATAGTATGAGAGCCCACTGCAAATTTCAACTGTCATCTGATAACAAAATGAAATATGCTCCAAAGGCATGTAACAACATTGTACTTTACCAAATTGCACCTGTGCCAATCCCTATCCTGAACAAAGTGGTTAAAAAAAATTATTTTATATTCAAAAAATCACATAAAACATGACAGCGACAATTATGTTTTCCCTGAAAATTACAATCCAAATTCATTGTGAACCTGAATTATTAATATTTTTACCTACCTTTTAAACCATGTTTATGTATGAAAGGAAGAAGGATGGCATTGTATAAACCATTTGCAGAGTTAGTCAATAATAATTATAAACTCTTGAAAGACAATTATTTTAAACCATAATCATAGTAGTTTTTTGTCATTTCTATGACAACCTGTAAAAATGAATCACAACAATAGGCATACAAATAAATTTTTAAATCAGCAAACATTGATTCATATTTTTAATGATATTTACCTACTAATCGTGGATAAATGTTTTTGTGCGATGTTAAGAGGAAGAAAATGTTTCCCTTTAACGATATATATCAAGATATATTTGCATGTTATTTTCTAGAAAACTTTAAGGGCAAACAAAATTAGTGCTGTCATGCCTTATGTGATTTTTATTAATATAAAATAATTTTTTTTAAGCCACTTTGCTTAGGATTGGGATTGGCACAGGTGCCATTTGGTAAAGTACAATATTTTTCCATGCTTTTGGGGTATATTTCATTTCCTTATCAGATGATGGTAAAAATTTGCAGTGGGCTCTTGGGCTACTAGTGTCTTTGTACTATAGTGTATAATTTCTTCAGGTGTACCGCAGGGATCTCATTTGGGTTTGTTGTTATTCAGTTTATGTATTAATGACCTTTCTAGTGTCATCTCTAACAGTAAATATCTCATGTTTGCTGATGATGTGAAAATATTTAGATCATTTTCCTATGAAACAGATGCTTTTTTACTACAAGAGGATTTAAATAGATTGTCCCATTGGTGTGATGTAAATGTGTTGTACTTAAATGTCAAAAAATGTCATCAGTTCACCTTTTTTAGAATTACATCTCGAGTTCACTATTCATACAAAATTAATAATTGTGTGCTACAAACTAACGACAATGTTCGCGAATTGGGAGTTATTATGGACAGTCAGCTTTCGTTTAACACTCACATTAGTCAAATAACCTCTAAGGCATTTAAAATGTTAGGATTTATTCAGAGGAACAGTAGACAATTTTCTATTAATACATTTATTTATTTATTACAATGCTCTACAGGCAATCCTAATTACTGAGCAGGAATTAAAGAACATGTAGACTAAGTGGTACAAAATATACAAAAATTTGTAATCAGCTAGTAGGTAAAATACAATACAATTCTATTTTTTTTGCTGTACTTGACTTTGGTCAGGTCTAACTTAGAATACTGCTGCACTGTTTGGTTCCCAATTATGTTATTTACATTAATCACATTGAGAAAGTACAACGAATATTTTTGTGGATTTGTGCTTTCAAAATAGGCATAAATAGAATAGATATTAATTATGAAAATATTCTTCTCCAATTAAACATGCAAACATTGGAGCACAACAGAACAGAATTCGACTTGTTTTTTATATAAAATTTGAAATGGTATTATATTCAATTCCGAACTATTGAACTATTTCGTATACATTTTCATCACACTAACTATGGATAAAATGAGACAATATCCAGTATTTTACGATTAGCTAACAAACATCAGAATATTGATATTGTCCATAATTCTCTTCCTGCTTTCAAAAGAGCTATAAAAAACTTACTTACTACATGTTAATATATAATTGTTGAATATTTTTTTTTTTTATATTTTGTTATATATTTTTTATTTCTTTTTGTTTATAATTCTTTTTTTTTTTTACTTATTAGTTTATAACTCGCTGTATTCAGGCATTTTACATTTGTTATGAATCTTTACATATGAACTAATCTGTAAAATGGGTTTTAACCCGTAAATAAATAAGTACTGTTTTGTTGGAATTAACAATCTATGCATTTCTTTCACACCAGTAAATTATCTAGCAACAACCAACTAGAAGAGACAATTTGGATTTCAGTTCCTTAGTTGATTCTGCATAGACAACAATATTGATATAATCTGCGTATATATTAAAATATAATGGGCTAAGATGAAATTAGACAAGTCTTTTATGTAAAGGAGAAATATAAAGGGACCCAATATTGATCCCAGAGGAACACCACGATCCATGTCCTTTACTTTTGAATAGCCATTGATTCTAACAGACATTTTACAAGAATCTATGTAAGAATTAATTTACTGCAAAAGGTTTTTTGGGCTTTTATAATTTTAACACCATGTGTGTAGAATATTAAGCACTTACATAAATGATTCATGGTCCAACTTTAGTTTGTTGGATGTATATCCAGACACCTTCTATACCTAATCCCAGTGGCGACTTGTTAACAAACTATTGGGGGTTCACAATGACAGAATATAGGTCTCAGTAAGTTGCATGTAAAAAAACTTTCTGTATATTAGAAAACTATATTATACCTACCTTATAATAAACCCTGAAAGTTTTTTTACCTACAACTGTACTGAGACCTATTATATTCTGTCATTTTGAACCCCTAATATTTTGGCTGCAAGCTGCCACTGCCTAATCCCATAATGCATATACCAAATTTTAAATACCAAAATTGATAAAGGCATAAGGTACAATTCTGGGATATAACCTGTAAGCTACAGAATCTGTAATTTTTTAGATTCTGGCTTACAGATCTTATAGATTGTGTCAGAATTAACCCATAAAATATTATTAGATACTGTATTGTCAAGAATCTTTAAAATTAAAGAAAAAACAAGACTGTTTCATAAATCAATTCAATCATTTTTGTTTGTAGGTACCTAAGCATATTGTTTTCCTATGTGAGTGTACCTATTTATGTAAAAAAAAAATACATTTGTTGCAACAAAAAATTTTAAAAACATGTACGCTATTGTCTTATTATTATATAGGTATCTATTATTATCTTATCCTTAGATAAACTTAAAAACTTTCAAAATCCTAGAATCTAGAATATATAATAATTGTAAACATATAATCAGAAACAAATAAAAACCACATTAACTATACCTACTAATACTCAATGGTAATGTTTATTACTAATCAACTACCTATTCTAGAAAATTACTTACCTTTTTTATATCATATTTTTATAGAATGAGAAAATGTGAATGGCAAGTTCATTTACATAATTGAATGAATTAGAAGAGGTGCAACCTAACTTTCTTTTGTTCTTTATAATTAAAAAAAAAAACATTCAAGATTAATAATTGAAATTACTTTATATTAGAGAAACAATCAAGATTATGCGATTTAAAAATCAGGATAAAATACTTCCTTCAAACAAGAAAGAGAAAGTATACTATGTAGGTACATAATTGATGAAAATCTCCTTAATTAATTGGTATTAAATTGTAGATTTTTATACTTTAAATAGTAATATAAGATTACTTACGGTTCAGCCTCGATACTCTTCAACTTGGCCACATAATTTGATGGGATGTAGCCCTCTTGTCTGGTCCTCTTACTCCTTGCAAGCCACCAATCCCCTTGTGTATCATTTAGTATTTCTAAATGCTCACCTTTTCGAAAACTTAAGTCTTCATCAGTTCTAGCATCGTAATCGTACAATGCCACGAAAATTCGCGCACTAGTTTGTTCAGGTTCAGTGGGATTTACCACTGGGGCCCTGGCTACCTCCGATGGAGGAGTCGGGATTGGATTTGCTTGCAATGTGTTATCTTCTATGGGGTTGACACCTAAGCCCCTGTTGTTCCTTTCTATCCTATCGGTTGTGGAAGGGCTGCTAAAACAATTGCCCATTTTTCATTTGTTTTTAATCACCTCACTTGTCACAAATATTTAACCATAACACACTGTAGTACTTCAGTGTTTCGTTTTCTTATACCGAAAAGTTTATAAAATATCTTGAATAAAAACCAATCAACTACACATATTAATTAGAATAATCAATCTAGTTTTGTAAAGAAACAAATGTATTTTAGGGAAAGGCAAGTGTTCACAGAAACTTTCGCTTTCAACAGTAATTCTTTAGTGATAATAGTTGGCTAACCTGTCTGTCATCTTTCATACTTCATAGGTTAGAATTTCATTTTACTGTCAAAGTGTCAAATATCCTCCGTTAGCTCAGCAAAAAAGTGTGGATATTTGATTTAAAACTGCTGTTTCTTTAAAAATATACAAAAGTAAGAAGCAAAGCGATCGGAAGAATTATTTTCTGTGATACTAAAGACTCTATTATTTTACAGCATTTTTAACATGCCGCAATTTAAAGGTAAGTCACAATTTATTTTAAATTTAATGTCTACCTAACCTTATTCTCTTTTCCAGTTTTTAAATTATTAACTGTAGATAAAATTCTTTAGTGTGTAACTACACTTATTTTAATTAATTTTCATTCTTTTTTTAGTTAAAGTTAAGTGGGGAAAGGAGACCTACCCAGATATTGAGGTTAATACGGATGAGCCTCCACTCCTATTCAAAGCCCAATTATTTGCTTTGACCGGAGTTCAGCCTGAGAGGCAAAAAGTTATGATCAAAGGTGTTACCCTGAAAGATTCTGATTGGACCAATTTTAAGTTGAAAGATGTAAGTTTTAAACAATATGCTTACTCATTGTCATTTTGCACAAAAGGTGCAGTGTTGCAGTGTAACTGGTATTAATATCCTTTAATGTATGTAATTAAGTATTAATGTTATAAAAAAATCTGGACATTACTTATATTACAAAAATACCTATATGGGATCAAAAAAACAATGCACTTTAAAAATTACAAATTAAATATTGCAAAATCACCCCTAGAAAATAATGAAAATTCTTGTAAAAATTATTTTTGAACTCACAAAGTAAACACATTTTTTTTATTTTGAAAACTTAGCATATACCCTCCCATATATCTATAAACAGCCAAAAGAAGACTACATGTGTTGGCATGTTCAGTTCAACTTTATCAACAAGTGAGATTTTAATCTAATATTTAAATTGACAACTTGGACTCCAGACATCTAATGTCCTGCACGTTTGCAGCCACTTTTTAGCAATCAGTTGACTGGAATCAACCAAATGCCAAGTGCTATCGATATGCATTTTTCTATGAAGAAAACATTCTATATTAAAATAAAATTACTGCCAAATTGTTAGGAAACAAAACAAAAGAGCTTAGAGAAATAAAAATCCATTAAAAAGCCATTTCAATTTTTTTCTTCCTAAGGAGGAAATAGGAGATTTAAAATTTGCCAAATAGTTAAGAAATATTTATTTATTTATTTAAACAAGATCAACCCTATTACAAAGGAAAACACATATAAATGATACAAATAATTGTAAATTATAAATTAAATTAAAAAATACAAGTAAGAGAAAAAAAAAGTTAAAATTAAGTCAAGTTTTATATTAATAAATGCATTTTAAGTATTGTAAATCCCTCTATAATAATTTCATTTTTACTTTAGTGTATTGTACATATTTTCTGAAATTTATTAAAAGAAATGCCTGTAATTTCAAGATTCAATTGATTTATTTCCCTCAATGTTCTTTCAATAGGCAAATAGTTTGTATTGTGAAATAGAACATGGAACATATTTAATTGCCTAAGGACTCTATTAGGAATATTAAAAGACATCATTTCTAAGAGTTCTAGGCACATGACTCGACCATTTAATAATCTATAGAAAAAATTCAAATCTGATATAAGTCTCCTGTACTTATCCTAGTATAATTGTGATCAGTTACCCGAATATTTAATTTGAAGGCACAGTATCTTAGAAATTTATTTTGTATTATTTCCACTGCTAGACATGATGATATTGTGGCGAGCAAATTATAGAAGCATACTCCAACTGAGGTACAACCAATGTTTGATAAAGATAAACTCTTTATGGCTTTTAAAGAAATCAGAACAGTTGTGCAATATTAACCCTAAGCATTGGGATGATTTTATTAAGATTGAATTTATATGTTCAATAAATCTTAATTGTTCATCTAAAATAACTCCTAAATCTTTGACTGAGTTAACCCGAGATAGTGGCTTATTATTAATGTAATATTGTGAGTTGCACTTTTGTTCCCTTTAAAAAAATCTTATAAAACAACCTTTATTAACATTCAACTGTATGTTATTATGGTCACATCATTTAACTAAGTTGTCGAGATCATTCTGAATGAAGGCTTGATTGTTAGATGGGTAAATACAACTTTGGGTCATCTGCAAACATTAAGAACTCACAATGTTTAAAGCATTCTATTATATTGTTAATAAATATATTAAATAAAAGTGGTGAACAATGAGAGCCCTGTGGTACATCTCAGGAAACCCTAATTAATCTTGATCTATTACTGATTTTAACTTGCTGACATCGACCTGTCAAAAAACTTTTAAACCATTTCACCAGCTGAGATGGTATACCAAATGGGAAAATTAATTTTTAAATAGATTTTTAATTAATTTTAATTTGATTTGACCCCTCATCCCCTTTCTAAGCAATTTTTTAAGATTTATTTTATATTTGTTAATAATTTGACACTATTTTTATTTCAATATTTGGTTTTCTTTCATAAGAAAATAAATGTTATTAAATTTGACCCTCTCATTCCCTTTCTAAGCAATTTTGTTCACATTTGAAAGATGTATTTTATATTTCTTAACAATTTGGCATCCATTTTATTTCAATACTTCGTTTTTTTTTTCATAGCAAATTTAGTTTTTTAAATGGTTTTTTAATGGACTTTTATTTAATTTGGCCCCCTCGTCCAATTCCTAAGCGAAATGGTTAATTTTGTTAAGATATATATTATATTTATGAACAAATTGGCACTAATTTTGTTTCAATACTCTGTTTCTTTCATAGAACAATTTTTTTTATGTATTTCATGAATATTTCTTAATATGAGCCCCTTGTTCCCTTCCTAAGCAATTTTGTTCATTTTTTTAAAAAGTATTTTTTGTTTATTAATAATATGGCACTAGAATTTTATTTTAATACTTCGTCATAGAAAAATGAATTTTTAAAGGAATTTATTAAAGATTTATTAAATTTGACCCTCTTATTTCTTTCTTGAGCGATTTTATTCACTGTTCAAAGATGTATCTTAGACCCTGAAAAAAAAACCTGTAAATTTTCAATATTTATTACCAAATACATTATATAAATATATTAAACACACATCTGATAATGCAAATTATATTTACATGGTAAACTTAAATAATATATTGTAAATATCAGGACTAAATGTCTTGTATAATATATTTTTAAAAATTACAAAAATTACTGTTGGTTACAAAATTGCTGCTGTATTCTGTAAATTTATAGAATTGTTTTTGCAGCGTATTTATTAACACTTTGGCACTAATTTTATTTTCTTATTCCGTTTTCTTCATAGGATTTTTATTTTTTCTCTTTATTTTGTTTCCTAACAATTTGACAGTAATTTTATTTTATAAATAAAAAATACATATGGACATCATTGGGTGTTTCCGGTAAACTGGTTAATGGAAAGAGGCTACTAACTTCACACTAGTTAATGTCCTAACAAGGCAGTAAGCGTAGAATAGGAATGTAAAGGGTTCAAATCCTTTGCAGGACAGTTTTTGTAATTTTTCAATAAATTTGTATTCACTTTGGGGATTTAAAAATAGTTTTCGTTTTCTCAAAGAAGTATTTTTAAAAAACTTATATATTATTTTAGGGGGTGACAATTTTACTGATGGGTAGCAAAGAAGAAGATGTTCCTAAAGAACCAGTAGAAAAAACAGTGTTTGTAGAAGATATGAATGAAAGTGAACTAGCTACTGCTGTAAGTGCCCAACAGACCATTTCCATTGTCATAAAGATTTTGATTCAAATTAATGATTTTCTTTCAGCTTGAGTTACCTGCAGGTTTAACAAATTTAGGAAATACATGTTATATGAATGCCACTGTGCAGTGTCTAAAAGCTGTCCCTGAATTGAGAGAAGCATTGCAAACTTTCCAAGGAGGTAAATTAAAAACTTTAATTCATCAATTTAACAAAAAAAAAAATTGTTTTTATATACCTATTTTGTTTTTATTGATTTTCATTAATCACAACTGTTGTAGTTATTTGGAGTGTATATTTATATTCTGCCTTTTTGCCAACTTTTAGGATTTGTCTTCTTGTTTCTGTTAAATCTAGTAAGATCTTAAAGTTTAAGTATTGAATATATATTTATTAATTTCTATAATATTCTCAATTACTAGCCAAATCATATATATTCTGATAATTTATTAATTCCAATTAAAAAATTTATACAAAAGATGGAGCTAAAAAATATCACAAAAGTAATCATCACAGTTCATTATAATTGAGCTCGATCGAGACTATGTGAGCTCTTCAGGCCAAGACATTCATTTTAATTACATAGAAAACAAAATTAAAAAAATTAACGTTAAATACATATAAGGAAGAAGAATTACATGGTATATATCAGAACTTAGTTCATTCATTACCCTTGAAGAAACCTGCAAATATCAATTTCTATAGTTGTGTTATGAAGGATGTTGCTGGTAGACATTGAATTCTTTCAGGGATCCTGTTATATATAAGGATGCCATTACTTAGTAATCTTCTCTGTCCCAATGATTATGTAGGCATAATCTGTGTATATGTGTGCACACTTGATGTATATAGGTTGAATCAATATTCATTGTTAGGCAGGTAAGGATCTGATGTTGGATATAACTGTGGCAAACTGACGATTTTTTTTATTGCTTTGTTTTGAAGCCCACAAAGTCATCGTTCATATAATAAGTAGTTGAGTCACTCTGGCTAAGGCCTTTGATGTTCTTTAAACATTATTTGTCCGACAAAATTCTAGGAACTAAGGGTGACCCTTCGCTCGACGGAACATTTACGAGGGAGTGCCAAGCTTGCTACATTTATACAATATATACGAGGGCATGGTAACATGTAACCTACCTGAAGTAAGTTTATTAAAATGTTTGTACATCGTTATTAGTTATGTTTATCGACTTAAAGATGATTATTTTAGAGCGAAATGAATAAAAATTACAAAATAAAACGAGTAAAAGCAATAAAAGATATATTATTACTTATACATATTAACTAATTTTACAATTATGGATTTATGAAGTTAAAAATGAAAGTACAACTTTTTTTCTAATTTCGACATATAAGGTGACATTTTCCGCAGAGTTCTAATTTTGCGTCTAAGTTTTTTCTTGGAGTTGTTGCTGAAAGTCCTAAGGATGTCTGAGTTGATGCATTTAAATCTAAAACAAAATTTTCAACATTTATTTACAATGAAAATAAAGTATAGGTGTGAAATGATTTGGTTCTTAATCACTTTGAATTTTGTTTATAATTAAAACGTAATCGGCATTTAATTATTAACCCTCAAAATAGACATATTTACCTGACAAAGGGATTTACTTGGGATTTGGGTTTTTAAGTTTAATACCCTTTAACGATGCCCTTATTACAGATTAACACTTTATTTTTCCTGTGAATTCGGTTTTTTTTGTTTTTAAAGTTTATGCTATTTATTTCTTAAGCTTATATATCCAATAAAGAGCTTTATCATTACTTTATATTACGTTATTATAATTCCTGTTGGGACTTCCGTATTGGGAATTTCCAACACATTGTGTCTACGTAAGTTGTCTACATATGGCAAAAAAATAATTATTTGTTTTATCAAAAAAATGTATTCTTCATAAAAAATTGTGCATGGTCTTAAACCAAAAATACAATCATCAGATATAAAGGTTTATGAGTTGTATACGAGGTTATTATTTTTGGTTAAGAGTCGAGTGAATTCATTTTTGACGAACCTGCATACGACTCATAATTTGATATCTGATGGTTGTATTTTAGGCTTTAGACCATGCACAATTGTTTATAAAGAATGAATTTTTTTCTCAAAATTAATAATAAAGTTTTTCATATGCCGCCAATTGTATGCGTAAGTTAGAAATGTACTCACGTTTCTTAATAGCTGTCTTTATAGTGTCTGTTTGAGCGATCAGTTTATTATCTAAAATGTGAAATAATTATAAAAAAATAATGTATAATACTCATTAAATAACAATTGTGGTAATTCTATAACGAATATGTTAAAATTTAACGGACGTTTAAAATATAACGTGTGTTAAATATGAAAAGCAATTCTATAAATTCATGAAACAGTTTAACTTGTCATAATTAGCTTAATAGTTCATTTGTGCCGCAAAAATCTATTCTATAAGCAGAAATATGTTAAATATTTGTATTTTAAGTATTTTATGCGTTAAGTCGAGGATATTAAAAGGTACTAATTAGTGGGCTTTAAAACAACATATAAGAAATTACTTTTGGTTGTTTAATTCAACTTATATAATGCAAGAAAATCATGAAAATTAACCATTTTGAAAGTAATTTTAACAGTAAAAATTACACAAATTGTATTTAGAAATTATATTTTGTTTATAGTGTATTTAAACTTTTTGTAGCTACTAATTGATTTGCCGCAGAAGGGCACTATTATAAGGTTACTGGGGTTTTTATTAAAAATTAATGGCCTACCAAATAGTTTATAAAGTACATTCGGCCGTTACTTTTTCATTATTCTTGTGCAAAAACAGACAGATACTATAAATATGACAAAAGTAATGACATTTATTTAACAGACCTTAAAACTTAATCATACTTTTATTGTAAATTTGAACTACTTTTAACGTATCTTTATTTTGTTTAAATTTAATGCATAGGTACGTTAAGTTTAATTTTTATAGAATTACAATCTATGTTAAAATCGTAAAATTTATAATAATAATAATAATAAATTGCCTTTATTTGCTTGTAATATACAATGCACATAAACATCATGAGGCGAAGTCTAGCTTGCGCTACTCAACTTAACCTCAACATAAATATAAATTTAAAATAATCAAAAGGTATCTATCATTTACAATATAAAAAAAATAAGAAATTTAATATACAATTAATTTATGATTAAAAATGTTAACCCTGTATTTAATCTAAACTGAAATCAATGGAACTTAAAATACAATTAAATAAGGAAAGATGTTTGAAATTAATAATATATTAACGTTAGCACTGTATTCATTGCTCAACTAATAGCAACGTTTTATAATTTTGTTTCAAAAATGTCAAAGAACATGTCCTAATTTCCCTAGGTAGACTGTTATATATTGAAATGGCGTTATATGTGAAAGATCTTTTGAAAAATGATAATCGGTAATTCGGAATCGTTAAGTTGTGTGGATATCTTAAATGTAAACTGTGCAGATCTTTCCGATATATCAATTTATTTTTTAAGTATATGGGAGTTGAGGTTAAAAGAATTTGAAATACCGTGGCCGCCATCTGATATTTAAATAAATTTCCTATATTGAGCCAGCTAAGTTCTTTAATTTTATTTGATATTCTATCATACTTTCTGATACCAAATACAAAACGACAACAACAATTTTGAATCTTTTGAAGTCTGTATTTGGTTATTTGATCCAAACAAGGATAGTAAATTAAAAGTCCATAATTTAGGATGGACAATACAAGACTTTCACAAAGCAACTTACGTAATTTGAAACTCAAAATACCTCGATTCCTGTATAATTGACGAATAACCAGATACGATTTTTTGACTAGGAGCGAAACATAGTCCTGAAACCTTAATTTGCAGTCATAAATAATGCCTAAGTTTTTGGCACTTCTACAAGATTTTAGAGGTTCATTTTGAATGAATAGCTTAAGGTTCTGTTGTACATTATGTTCTATATTTTTAGGACAAAATAATATTGTATGACATTTACTGGCATTTAGTTTAAGGTTATGATTCATAGAAAATGTATATACTGCATTTAAATCTGAATTCATGTTTTGCGAGGCTATATCTACTTCACATGGGTCAAAGGAATAATATAGTTGCGTGTCGTCAGCAAAAGAGTGTATATTTACATGCTCCAATAATTTATAAAGGTCTGAAATATATATGGAAAACAAAAGGGGACCAAGAACCGAGCCTTGGGGTACTCCTGATGTTACACACATAAAGTTAGATGATTTCTCTAACGTTACTTTTTGGTAGCGGTTACTTAAATAAAATTTGAAAAATCTTAGTGAGGTTTCATCGAAACCAAAATATTTGAGTTTGGCACAAAGAAGCTGATGATGTATAGTGTCAAACGCTTTAGAAAAGTCAAGCAGAGTAACTATTGTAGCTTTTCCTTCATCCATTGATCTTATAATGTTATCTGTTAAATCTAAGAGTAATGTTGTAGTACTAAACCCCTTTCGAAAACCTGATTGTTTAGTGGTTACAATATTATGAGAAAATGTATATATTTGTTTACTAATTACTTTTTCTATAATTTTGGACAACGTCGGTAAAATACTTATGGGCCGAAGGTCGCTAAATGTTTCAGGCTTATTTGATTTTGGCAAAGGCTTGATTAAGGAATACTTCCAGCTATCAGGAAAGTAACCAACTTCTAAACAGCAATTTACAATGTGCGTTATGTAAGGAGCACAGACTGAAATAGAAAGTTGTAACATTTTTGCTGAGATGTTATCAATTCCTAATGCGTTTGATTTTAATTCCAAAACTATTGACCTAATTTCATTTACTGTTGCAAGTTTAAAAGAGAAATTAATACCAGGATTAAATAGATTTGAGTTATAATAAGATGTAGTGTAAGGACAACAATTTCTCTGACTGAATACCGACGTAAAATACTTGTTTATATCAGTAGGGTCACTTAAGCCATCAGGAAAATTTAACACCTGTTAAATATAAACAATTACAGAATTACCACTAACATTTGTTGAACTTTTAAAAATTAAGCCTACCTTTTATTTTAGGAATAGCAAATTTTGTTATATGGTTCTGAGAATTGTTTATAAAATGTTCTTTTGCAAAGTGTAGACTGCAAACTTTTATACGAGAATAACAATGTATTGGTGTAATATTTGCATATTTATGATTGCCCGTAAATCCCA